AGTAGAAATGCCAGGAAAATATGTCACTCAAATGCCCCATCGCACCTCCACTGATTCCTTTGGACAAAGAGGAACAATGGCTCCACTCCAAGCTATATTTTGGGACTGAATTCTACAGTGGGAGTTTTAATTGAATGATCCAATATTGAGGCTTGGGAAATTATGGAAAACCTTATCTTATAAACAATCCTGAAACTCTTGATCTTCATAAATTAATATAAATCGGTTTAAATTCCCCATAAATATTTTGTATAAGATCTGGAGTTTGTTTCTTCTGGGTGTATTTTTGTTTTCTTTACTTTTCTTTAAGTACAATCACATTGCTATTGGGCGTGAACATTGCAATAAGATTCAATATTTAATCATATTTTTTGCTGTTTAGAGCATTTTAGAAAAAGTCAAACTTGAAGGTAGTATGAAGACTATCAATGAGGCAAATATATAACAACTTTGTGCAAATCCCTTTGCTTGTTTCCCTTCTTGTGTTGCAATTTTATGGATAAAAAAAAAAGACCTAACTTGTTTTAAAAACTCCTTCCCAGAAATAAATTCCACATACACTAAACTGGAGCAAGAGTTTCTGTTTTAGATGAACTGGTTTTCTTTTCTTCTCACCCTTCTGAAAGCATGAAGAAAGAAATAAAATAAAATATCTTTCCAAATCTGTGAATAAGAAAGATAAGTGCAATAAATGAGCTTATAATCCCATTTACATTGTGCCAAAAAGTATGAATTTTGCTGTATTTTGTATTGAGTTTATTCAAAATGAAAGTGCAAGAAACCACTTTGCATTTAAGCAAATATCTACAAGGTTACACATTAAGTTATATTCTAACCATGCAATTTCACTGTGCAGGATGTTCTCAATTTGGACCACCCTGTTCTTGCACATTCTCCTTGAAAAAAAGCCCCTACAGGAATCCCATCAAGGTAAACATGAGAAAAATCAGTTACCAAATAACTGATCACTGCTGTGAGGGTTTATACAAAACAGTCACACTCTCTTTCATAATGTGTGTATGAGTGTCATTGTCTGAGTTCTCTCACAGCTGTCTCAAACATCTAATTGGTTTGTTCTCTTGCCAGATCAGAGGTAGGCTTGGTAATGTATTCAGTCTGAGTGATGGCTTTCAAACTGATTTCACATGAACAATGATAACGAAAAATTGTAAACGCCCTATTTTACTGTAATTGGTCTCCATCGTATTGTCCATGTTGTATCTTTTGTGATGTAAATCTTTTCATTCAGGAGGGAGGGTTGCCCAAAATAAGTTGGGCATGAGAGTTTGCCACAGAAACTTCATGTCATTTTCTTCCTTATGTTTTCTTTTTTAATATATATTATTTTAATTGAAATGAGTGAATTGTATAAACAGCAAAGAAAATAAGTCTGTAAGAAGATCATAGTGCTGAAGGGAAGGGGGAGGACTTCTTCTGATCTTCTATGCATCCCTAATGCATGCCTTCAAATGAAGCAACAAAATAGGACTTGGTAACACGACTCTAACTGGCCTTTTATTGTGAAAATCTGACATCAAGCCTTGTCACGTCTAAACCGTGTCCTGCAAAAGAAAAGTGGAAACAGAAGGCTTGACAAAAACTTACAAAGCCACTTATATGACATAAAAATAGAATGATATAAAAATAGAAACTCATCATCTTTTAAATTACCTCAAATTATTACTAGTTTAGATCATGTATTTTATTTTTTTATTTTTTAATAATTGGAAAATGTCCTACAACCTAGGGGATGGTTGCAACATTTTCCAAAGATGACTGGGCCTACATCAATTATTTAATTTCTATAAATTGAACTCAAATCTGTCTGCTAACTATCCATACCATTTAAACATGATGACAGACAGATTTTTCACAATATTCATAAAAAGAAAAAGTCAACTGTCTCAACCAACGCCATCTCTGGGACAGTTGGTTCAGGTTCTGATCCATTTATTTTCACAAACAAGGTTTTTGTCGTTTGTCTCAATGAGAATATTATTCTTAAAATGTGTATTTTTTTTTATAAAACTTCATCAACAACTAAAGTACAAGCTTGGGCTCTCTGAAAAGCACACAGGCATGTTTCCATTGTTTTATTATTTTATTTAAAACTTTTTGAAATACTGCTTTTATTAAGAATTTCAAATTAACACAGCAAACACAAGTCCTTCCAAAAACTAGTTTTGAAAATGGACATTCGAATGTTATTAATCTAACATCCCGCTCCCTCCTGCATCAGTCAGATAAACAGTTGTGGCATGTATAAAAATCGCATCCAGTTGTGCAATATTTTTGGGCCCAGGACAGCCACACTATCTGGTATTTTGAGTAGCTTTCCAGCTTGGGGAAGATTGCAACAAGTTTTGCAATTTTCCCAAAGCTGTCAGCCATGGCAGATCACCATGTGCTATAGCTAGACACAGATCAGATTCACTCACATGATAACCAGATTACTCAGAGTTAACCAAACAATGATTCATTACTATTTTTATTCATTTCTATTATTCATCATTATTATTGATGATAAAGGATGTATGACAAAAATACACCACAAAGAAAAAAAATTACTTTCACACCTGAAAAACATGTTTGTTTGTTTTTCAGTAAAATTAGATGGTGGTTTTAAATGTGTCTTCTGTCCTGCTGGTGAAGGAGAGGGTGCAACTGAGCATGTGACGTATTGCTGAAGATTGGAGGGAAAAACAAAATGCTGCAAACATCCTCAATCTCCCTTACTAGAATACTAACCACAATTAAAAATAAGATTGTTATAGCCTTTCTCAATATGATCATGCCAATAAAATATTTGATTGTATATTTGCATTAAAATATATTAAAATATACTAAATACAATATTTCTTTACTACAATTTCTTAGCTCATTTGATTTTATATA